AGAAAAGTGCGCGCGAACACCATGGAAGCTTCTAGAAAGTAGGGCCGCCAATGGCGCGGATCAAAAGATGACTGAAACAAAAGACAAACAATGGCTGAGTGAACACTTGTCGTAGCGAATTCGGTTGGTAGCATTGCGCGCACTGATGCATATTAAAAATCTGTTATATTCAAATTTATAATAATTAGAACTGTAAAATAATCGTAATAATCTGTAATTATTCGTATTAAAGGCACTCCCGATATTTATGAAAATTTCGCGACTACGGAAAAAATGGCGCTCGACAGCTTCACGCTGATACCTCGCGGGACCCTCTCTCTCCCCCCTCCTCCCTCTACGCAAACTACCTTGCAAAGCAAAAGAAATATACGCAAATCCGGAATTTATTAAGATACATTTAATTATTACATACTTTTGCGTGATCTGACGATGTTCTTCCTTCTCGATTCCATGCTTCGAGCGAAATTTACGGAAGGACCATGTACTTGTCACGACAGGACACGACAAGACACGATAGGATGCACGATCGAAACGACACTGATTATGAATATCAAAGCACAAGATGAATGTTAAAATATATTTGAGCGCGATCGCGAACATTAATATATCCCGAACATTAACTATACACTTCGCTTTTTCAAACTGTATTTTTTTACGTATGCAATTTGCTCCCGAAGAAAAGTGCGCGCGAACACCATGGAAGCTTCCAGAAAGTAGGGCCGCCAATGGCGCGGATCAAAAGATGACTGAAACAGAAAACAAACATGGCTGAATGAACACTTGTCGTAGCGAATTCGGTTGGTAGCATTGCGGGCACTGATGCATATTAAAAATCTGTTATATTCAAATTTATAATAATTAAAACTGTAAAATAATCGTAATAATCTATAATTATTCGTTAAAGGCACTCCCGATATTTATGAAAATTTCGCGATTACGAAAAAAAATTGGCGCTCGACGGCTTCACGGTGATGCCTCGCGGACCCTCCCTCTCCCCCTCCTCTCCTCCTCCTCCCAGCTACCTTGCAAAGCAAAAGAAATATACGCGAATCCGGGATTTATTAAGATATTTACTTATTACATACCTCAGTATAATCTGACGATGATCTTCCTTCTCGATTTCATGTTTCGAGCGAGATTTACGGAAGGACCATGTACTTGTCACGACAGGACAAGAAAAGTGCGCGCGAACACCATGGAAGCTTCTAGAAAGTAGGGCCGCCAATGGCGCGGATCAAAAGATGACTGAAACAAAAGACAAACAATGGCTGAGTGAACACTTGTCGTAGCGAATTCGGTTGGTAGCATTGCGCGCACTGATGCATATTAAAAATCTGTTATATTCAAATTTATAATAATTAGAACTGTAAAATAATCGTAATAATCTGTAATTATTCGTATTAAAGGCACTCCCGATATTTATGAAAATTTCGCGACTACGAAAAAAAAATGGCGCTCGACAGCTTCACGCTGATACCTCGCGGACCCTCTCCCCCCCCCACCTCCATCCTTCCTTGCCCTTCGCAGACTACCTTGCAAAGCAAACGAAATATACGCGAATCCGGGATTTATTAAGATATTTACTTATTACATACCTCTGTATAATCTGACGATGCTCTTCCTTCTCCATTACATGCTTCGAGCGAGATTTATGGAAGGACCATGTACTTGTCACGACAGTAGACGACAGGACACGATCGAAACGACCGACTCCGATCACGAAGCAAATTTGAACGCGATCGCGAATGTTAATACATAGAGAACGTTAATCACACTTTGCTTTTTCGATCTTATATCTTTACACGCAACTCTGTTAAAAAAAATCTTTATTCCTTTTATCCTGATTGGTCGATTATAAAAAAATCTTTATTCCTTTTATCCTGATTGGTCGATTATACGCTTCAAAGCATCCTTAGTGTCTTCTTGACCGCAACCTTGATGAACAATCAACTTTTGACGAAAGAAAGAAGCTGATTGGCTGTCGCAGTGACATTACATTAATGTGACGGTAAAGTGCTGAAAGTGTTTGACCAATCAGGATAAAGAAATTTCTTCACTCTGATTGGTCGAATGCTTTCAGCATTTATAGGGTGAAGACGCGAAATGCATTTTTTAAATGCGTTTCTATATTGATTACATTATCGATGATTTCAATAGAGACAAAGCGTTTCTTCTAAAATATCGGTATAAATTGTTTTATTGAAACGCTGAGAATTCTGAGTAAGAATGCCGAGTGAGTATTTATTTTTTTCAATACGCACTTTTCGATATGCCACTTTTTCGTTTAATCTGTAGAATATTATGTTATTGTTCGCAAACTCGCGAATGCATCATTTACTTGTTTGGCTTAATTTAGACCGATCGTTTGATATTCGTATCAAATAGTACATTTGAGCTGATCAGCCAATGATTAAACCAATTTACTATTTGATATACACGTATTAAACGATTTGTGTAAACTAGGCTATTAACTTTTAGTGAACAAGGAGAGAATAATTCCAGAAGGGTTGAACGAAGCATGCCTTACGTCACTTTGGTTTAGACAAAAGCTTGGTGTTCGCGCGCAATTATTCGTGGCGCGACGATGGGTTTACGCTGCAGATTTAAGCTCAATTTAGTATCATGAGGAAGGGACAAGATTTATCCACCGCTAATTAATATATTGTAATCGTTACAGCCTTAATTATGGTACGTATAATTATATTATCGTATGATGTTACGATCGTAACGATCATATTCAATTTACAATTTTAGGTTATTACAATTTATACAAAAATATCAATAACAGAAACATATATCTGTATAATATAATATAATCTATACAATGCATGTTTCTGTATTATATAATTATTTAGATGCAATATTGCTATTATTTTTAATACAATATATACATATATGCATTATAATATATACATATACATATATGCATTATAATAATATTTTGGAAGACAAAGATTTATTGTTTTGTAAAACATTTTATATATATATATATAAAATTTGTTTTACGATGAATCTTTATGTTTTTTGAAATATTATTATTGTACAATGCAATAATGACAGATTATATTGCAGTTACTATAATAATTTTCATAATTATGATTTATCTCTATATGTAATCTATATATAAATTGCTGGATTATGATTTATATATACATATAAATCACTTAGAGAGATATATATTATTGGTGCTTTCATCAATACTCTATAAATATACTAAACATTTAACTAATTATTCTCTCGCTTTCTAAATATTAATAAAATATACAATATATTAACATATTAAAATATTATGCATTATACTTTATTACAATTTCCAGGACAAAATTTATATATATATATTCAAAAATATAAAGACACATTTTTTTCTTCAAAAATGGCACGAATTTGCAATTGAATGAGCAGGAAAATTATAAGAGACAAAAGCAGTATAATAAGAGACAAAGGTTACAGTCGTTAGTATTGTTACCACACTTCCGAAACGCATTTTAAGCACTGTGAGTTATATATTTTTGACCTACTTTTTTTAAAGTTTATATGAATGTGAACAATATAATTCTGAAAATTATTCCACATTAAAAGAGCAAAAGTAATCTCGCAATTGTAATAAAAAAATGCGTTTTGAATGCTTTAATTATCACGTGTTAAGTACTTTCTGTTTTATTTATTCAAAATAATCGTAAAAAGAAATCATAATATCGTGACATTTTGATATTTATTAATTGAAAATTTCGATATTTTTTAATAGAAAACATACGAGAATTAATTTCTGCTGCTAGTTTTGGGGGAGAAAAATAATTACGTGTCTTTTGCAAACGGTGCGCATACGCAAGTAACGAAGAGACCGAAAAATTTAATCGTTTGAAATATATGTAACAGGGTGGCGCGTAAACAACAGTATCTGCGAAAGGGGAGACAAATGTTCAATGACGCTGCAGCAAAGTTATCGACTATCGAATATTACTGGATAACGAAAACAAAGTACGTCTCGTTCCAACAGTTATTATTATCGTTCGCGATCGCGCGTATTTCGCGTTTTTCGCGCAGCACCATAAATAATTAAGAATAAATGAGATATTTAAAAGCCCGAATATTTCCTGAGGACGCCGCGACACGTTTCACGGCTTCTATTTTCCTCTTGTCGTAACGAATCGCACGTCAATATGAATGAGAAAATAAACCTTCGTCGTCGGCAGAGCGGGGAATTTATTTGTTCGTCATAAATCGTCCATCTATTTCTGTTCGCATTACGAAAAGCTATCGTATTCCGGAATCCTTCCATCTCTTTCCTGTCGTCTTTCCTAGCTTGCTAGCACATTTATCAAAAGATCATTTTATATATTAGCGATAACGATTATTTAATTTTTAATTAATATATTGGACATGTAAAACGCAATTGGCAAATATAAGATGAAAATATTGGGGTTACTTCCGGATGTCACTTCCGGTATGCAGAGATCGTAGGCGTTCTTGAGTTTTCTTTTGCAAGCAATAGTGCGTTTTGCAGATGCTACGAAATATTTCGCGCCTTCTCGACGTTGAATTAAGCATCGCGAAGATAAACCTGCTGGCCGATCGCGTCGTTTATTATTGAAACGCCGTTTAAACTCGAAACACAGCCACGCCGTCGCACCATCCGGATATTTGCGTCGCTTAAATCTGTGGAGTATCGACCCACTCGAGGTCGTCTCGCGGACGAGAAACACCATATGATTAACCCAGGTGCAAGGATCGTTTCGTGTCGATCGGTCGTTAGCGAGTTTGGAACGGAAATCGCTTGTTCCCCATAGACGCGATTTCCAGAACACGAAATAAATCTCGATTGTATTATAAGCAGAATATTAGTTATTATATATATTAGGTATTATATAATACAGTGTTTAAGATTTAATCGTCTTATTATAAGTATTGTCACGATACAAAAATATGCTTGTTAATAAGTTACATTATACATTTGATTTTTTTATAGGATTTTTCTAAAATTATTTCCATTTATTTTGCAGGTGACATGGAAATCCTAGCATACTTCTTTGGACCAGTCGGAGTACTCTTGGCTGTAAATCTTCTGTTTTTCGCCGTAACTGCCCGAGAATTGACGTGCGGTCTCTGGAAAGGCGAATTCGTAAAAAGCACTACCGAGAGGTAAGCGAATATTTTCTTTGCATTAAAGAAAACGAAGCAGCGAAATGCATTTTGCTCGTTTATTTGGTCGTTTACTAGTAAAACTTTTATTAATTTCACGTAAATAATTTGTAACGTTTCGACCCTATCAAAACTCTTATTTTTGTAATTCATTTATAAATATCTGATAAAATTTGCCATCTATTATACGAAATAACAATGGATTTATTCCAACAAATATCTAACTATTCTTCACGTTACAAAGGTTTTTTTTCATAAGGAATATGTTTTCCTGCAGTGAGACATTTATTCCTTTTTCTCGTACAATGAATAGCGGTAACAATGCTTTCGTGATGTATTATAGTTTCCACTGTACCTTACGCTTATTTTTCTCACCAATTAAACTACGAATATAATTTACTCTATTAAAAAATGATGTTAATTGGAGGAAAGAAAATGAACGCGCGCATATAAATTATCAAAATGAAAAATGCAAGAGAGTTTAATTGTATTCCACCGAGTAGTATATCTTCAATTTATCTGCCAAGCACATGTACACGAGTATTCAGGCTCGGTCAATTCATCGGTGGATTAACAAAGGCTCGCCCTGCAGTTTGATTGGATTAGTCCAGGCAGCTAAACGTACCGACCAGCTGATAGTCCTCCTAAATTCAGCGGAACAGTGCTGTCTCGAGGCGTTCGCCAACCTTGCAAGCGACGGATATGGCTTTTGCCAGTGTTCGTCTGTAAAAAAAATAACGTTTATCTCTCCCACGTGATTTCCCAGCAGATTCATAAACACACTTCGCACGCTCATCTCGCGGAACATTGGCCGTTCAGCCTTTGTCTCGGGCAAATATTTACGTCCGATCGTAAAATTTGGGATACTCTCTTCGTACTTTTGCAGCTTTTAGGAAATGCCTCGTGAAAGAAGTTAAAGAACCGTGACCTTCCCTTTTGTTGCGCGAGATTCATTCGCAAACTGCAGAACCTGTTTATTTTTGTATCCGACTTGGCTCGCTCACTCCGAGTCCGATTAATCGAATGCAATTGATCGTCCAATTGCTTGATCTATTAAAAGATCGAAGAGTGACAATGATAACACTTTATGTATACGACAAATATGAAGCGAACTTTTGTCACGTAAGTCATCGAATGAAAATTCTCTTTGGGCTCAAACGTGCAAAATTTTGCCTGCGGTATTTTCTTAATTAAAGGCGCTCGATGTGAAAAATCTCGCATACAACACATATGAAAAAAAATTCTTCCATATACAATTACAATTTAAATAAGCGAAATTATACATATAAAAATAATGAGAATCCTAAGAATTATTACAACTTAAATAAGCGAAATTATACACATAAAAAAAATGAGAATCCTAAGACGGACGCCTGAAAATTGACATATCAGCGTTCACTTTGCAATGCAAACGAGAAGAGATTATTTCGCAATTTTTCAGGCGATCACAAAAGCATTCCAATTATTTGCCTTGCAGAAAGACGACAAAATGGCGAATCGACAATACGCGAATTGACGGTCCCGCGTAATATTTCTTCTAGGAATAACCCGGAATTGTGCCAACAACTGCGTTTAGGGGCCCATTTCCGACGCGTCTCGAAGCAACGATAATAAACGTGAGGTTGCACGACCGAGAAACAGAAACGTCCGATCGTTTCGTACGAAACGACACTTTCGGCTCGTGGAAACGACCAGGTTTTATAGGTTCAAGCAAAATACCGGATCCACGTTTTTCGTGAGAATACGGAACTTTATTCTGGAAGGAATAGGACGACGGATTCGAATATCAAGGATAACTGATGGTGCAAGGATTACGCGAAAAGATGCATGATAGAAGGAACATCGAGAGAAACTTTCAAAGCATTTATTTCAGATTTCGATATATTAATTTACAATTATACACAATATTAATTGATAAAAATTTTTGATTTAACTTTGAGCAAATTTTAATAGATTCTTAATTTTAAATTTATTCAAGATATTTAATTCTTGAAATTTCTGCTCGAGTGAAAAGATATAAAAGATGTTTAACGCGATATGATGGGAAGATACAGAATGCAAAGATATTTCCTGCTTTTTCGCTTTACGAAATAGATGGATATTTGACATTTCGTATTTTTCCGGCGATCTATACGAGCGAACGGAGAATTCTTTTTATAGATCGCAGACTTCGCGCGCACAGAGGAGAAGGTTTATTTTATTACCTTCCAGCCGAATGATATCAGGCAATCGTTATTTTCCATTCGCTCGACGTCCCTTCGATCCGCTTACATCCTCTCGCTCTATTCGAGATTGATATTGACGATCCCAATTCGCGATTTCGACGACGCTATTTGCCCGTCGTGATGTATGTACGCGAACACAATACGCGCCATTGTTGGCAAAGGAAACGTAATAGCATATGCAGATTTTGCTTCATCCCGAGTTTGTTCTATACCTTCGGTGCGGATTTCGTTCATCACATACGTTTGCATAGTTTCCGGAACATCTCGACGTGGATAAATTACCCTGCGAAAACTTTCGAACGTATCCGTGGGTGGTGCTTTTTTATCATCAGAAATAATATTATTTTTTATTCAAAATAATTATATAGTAAAATACGCCAGATTTAAGTCACTATCAAGTTTATTTCTTTTCTTGTATTTTACTGTATTCTCTGGTTTAAAGTTGCGTTAAGTGAAGCTGATTTTCGTCAGCTGATTTTAGTTCAGCGAATACGTCAAAATTGAAGCGCATAAATATACGTCAAAATTAAAGCACATAAATATAATCAAGAAGCAAATCTATGAATGTGTCTTGAAAAAAGTTTCTACACATTTTATGTGTTTATTCGAATAAACACAAATAAAGATAATTTTAACGAACATTCAAAAAATAATAAATTAGTAAAAGATATTTTTTAAATCGAAATAATGTCGCATTATTGCTATACACGTTAACAGAATTACATATATGCGGATACGGATTTGCGGAGACATGCTCTCGTGAAAAATTCCCTTTTAAAATGGTTTCGTGGTGGATTCCACGACCGCCAAAGAGGTCCACGCGATGCCAAATAATGCGCGGTCGTCACGTCCGATTTGTCCGAGAAGGCAGAATAGCCGGCTTGAATTATTCTCACAAGTCCTAGCGAAGGACAGACGCGAAAGTGGCATAAACATTCGCGGTGGAACACTCGCAATAACCGTCGTCCAACGTGCCATGGATCCAGCTCGCCGGCCCGAATGCACTTTCTGTCGTCGCGCGCTTTTCCCCTTTTCAGCGGTCGCGTAAAGTGAAGATCTGTGTTTCCTCGGTTTCGTCTCGCTTCTGTCGAGATAGTCGCGGATTCACCGGCAAAAAAATATTTCACACGTCCGAGAACGCGCGACAGTATTTTGATACTACGCGACCACGGGAGAATAATCTCTAGCTCTTTCGTGGAGAGAGAAAAAGTCGTATAAATATACTTATATGGCGCCCCGCGATATCTTTGTGGCACCTAAATTGCGGATTTTCACGTTATATACCTGTACCTTTATATTTCCCCGTGATTTCTTACGAGAAAGTCCCGAGAATCTCGTTCAACTGCTCGCGAGCAAGATTTACAAGTGCATCCGTTAGCGAGACTTTAGACTTCATACTTTTATATCGCAATTGTAACCGAGACTTTTTCCATAACTTGTCCCTATTTATCTCTTCTTGCTTTTAATGTTCCCGTATATTTCGCGGTTACATAAACGTTGCGACGATTTTGAAAGGGATAGATTCTATAACGAAAATAAATTTTTGTAAATTTTTGAACGATCGTATTCCGACTACGGCGAATTACGTACGTATGCATTGGTTGTAAAGTCCCGGGCGTCTATTGCATGTTTAAAAATAGCACATACACTGCACGCCTTATGAATGATTAACTGCGCGAACGTCAAGAAACTTTGAAAGCCGTCTGTGTGACGACGAGTAAACAAGCACTACCGCGATGTGTTTAAAATTTTAGCCGAAGTCGTCGACCCCCTTCCTGGGCCGCATTTGATATTTCCCAGTCATCATCGCGCAAATTTCTCTCCGCCGTCTACTCATGTCAATTAACTCCGTCGTCGAGTTCGCAGACCTTCCGCCATTCTTGCCCGCAAAGATTGACATTTATTTGCAAGCACGAATAAATGCTCGCGTAAATGCTTGCTCGCGGCTGTCTATTTCAGGTCGTTTTTCATCCGCGTCGTCGTTGCTTTCATCTTCGCCAAATTTAGCTCTCTTCGCACGACTCGTTCGATATCAATCGCTCGTTCTGTCGATTAAACAGGAGAATAATCGATGCGTAATTTATTTGTGACTCTTGTTCCTTCTCGTTGAAGATTCAAAGCTGTGTTAATGAAAACGTAAAATTTTAATAATTGCATCTCATTGATTTCATTTTTTTATCATACAATTTCACGATTATTCTTCTTTAAACAATTTGTCGCACAATTTGGGTTGCTATATATCTTGTAAAAGACTAATGTTTATCATTCTAAAGAATTAAATTATATTAATATTAAAATATATAATGATATGTGTATAAAATATATAATATTAAATTAATATGAAAATTATTAAAATATATTTTATTTAATTATTTTAATATATTAAAATATAATATAAATTTAATTTAAATATAATATAATATTATATTTAATAATTTAAATATAATATAAATTTTATTTAAAAAATATATTTTTATCATGTCTATCAGAAAACTTGAGAGAAATGTGCGTCCTACAATAACTTCATCTATTCTTTGATCTATTTGCTCGACGATAGGAATCGCGCTATAAAACCAAAAAGCTCGATGATTGTTGGGACCGTTTCCTCTTCCTGTTTTCTCGATCCTCGATAATGGACAGCTTTCTTGGAGTCTTTTGTGCCAAGGTAGCTGCCTTCCCTGAAATTCTCGCGTTTCCCTTCCTCGCTTTCTCATTTCTTCTCCCATCCCTTATTGTCTCGCGTTACAACACACTCAACCGATCCTGTGAAGTGTGTCGTGCGAGATTCAATATTTACGAAGTCCATGTGTGGACCATTCGATCTCTCCCCGCCCGTCCTTCACCTTTCCCCGTAGGAATTTTCTGGTTATTATTGTTCGCTATACTCATAATATTGACCGTACTTTTCTGCACATATTCCAATCGAAACATCCTATTTCCGGTTGCGCTTTGTTCCATGTACCATGATCGATCGTATCGCATTCATTCAATAACATTTTGAAATCTTTCTCGCTTATTCGCCATCTGTTCGCTTTTGTAAAATTCTTGATTGAATATATGATAGAGGTAATACGTGTAGCGTTTCTGCGAACGGAAACTTTAAACACAAACGTAACATTACCTGGTTGATGGAAGAAAATCTCTCGGCAGTTGCGTTTCACATCGCGAAAGTAAAATGTTTTTCAATCGCGTTACGATTGTTGGAACTATTCTATTTGAATTAATACGAAAATATCCTTGAGCGAAGAAAACATTTTTCTCGAAAGCAACTATTTAAAGCCGCTATAAAAGTGTAATTTAAAGCTGCTATAAAATGTATATACATTCGTTTAACAGCTAGGCAATAACGATGGAAAGAGGTGTTTAAGAGACGATTAAAACTTTTCAGAGCCCATTATATGATATCGTTACTTTACTTCGCTTAGGTAGGAGTAATAAAACTGCGTAGCGCATCCCACAATTTGAACGAAGATAGTGAAATTTTGGCCAACTCTGTCGCCTCGAGAATCATCGAGTCAGGATGGAATTAACGAGGAATTCGGGCGATGTTGGACGAATGAAATTCCCAAATCATTTTCGACGTCATCGTCTCTCATCCCCGACCTCCGTCCGTTTCCTTCGTCCATCGACGTTATTTTCAGCCCATCGCGGTACTCGTGCGCATTTCCCCTTTGGAGTGCTTCTCCTCTGGGATTCGCGCGACCGAGCCGAGTGCGTTCATAATAATTAGCAACGCCAAAACGAAAATAGAATTCTCGGTGGTATGCAAGCCAGGATAACCGGCGTCCGGACGGGCGGAGCGACATTATGATGCCATAATTCTGCGATATGTCCCTATATTCCGCCCCCGCGCGCTGTTACGGGCTGCGAATATTCTGACGGGGCGCATTAATAATCCTTTGACTTCGAGGCCCCCGCGACGGGACGCATATATTATACGCGATGCAGACCGCATGGCGAATCGATTCTACGCGAATGTGCGATTCTCGCTGGACGTTCTCATCTCGTATAACGAATGGTAACGACTGGTAGCGAAATTTTCCGGCGTCATTTCTTTCGCGATGTCACATCTCCGTCGTGAAGAATATTATCGCGGCTCTCGCCAGATATCTTTTATGTCCTTCGATACGAATATCGTGGAGTGAGTTGATCTATTTGGGCGCAGTAAAAAATTGTGCGTCCACATGTTAAAATTTTCTTGTGCTACTACACGTTTTGATTAGTACTTCGATGTAAAATTAACATACAATCTATATGTTATTATTTTTATAACATTTTCATGTGTTACATTTATCTCAACTTCATAACTTAACATTTTGTATGTGTCTTTTAGAAATGGAGTATTATTTTGAGTATTTTTAACATAATCATTTTGAACAATCAATATGTCTCAAAGTCTCAAGTTTAACATTCTAAGAAAAGTTAAAGTGAATCTTCAAATAATCTTGAATCTTTAATATACAAAAATAATCAAATTTATACTAAAATCAAATTTCTATTACAAATAATTTAAGTTAAAATAATTATTGTACTATTATATGTTAATGTCCTCAACATTTCTAACGAGTTATTGCAACTATTTTTTTATGTAATTTTTAATTAATTTGTATGTTATTTTCACATTACATTTAAAGTCACAATAACAAAAATAAATGTAAAGTATTGTGTCAATTATTTAACATTTTTAGTTTGTCAATAAGTAACATATGACGAATGAGTTTAGATTTTAACTTAAAATTTAGAGTGGACTTTCTAGGACACAAAAAATGTTATGATTAACATTTTATTTTTTATTCTGAAGATACCCTGGAAAAATGTACAAGATCTGAAATACTCGGGGATTTTTTTATACCCCTGGAAAAATTAGAGAATTCATGAAATTTCATTTTTGGGATAAATTTTTTAAAAAGTTATCGCCTTAGTAATTTTGCTCTTGCATTATCAACAGCATCCGCTGAATTTTTTGAATATTTTTATGTGCGTGTTTGAGATATATTATAAATATATATCTATTTTTATTTATATATGCAATGTCTTTAAAAAATTGAATATACAGTAGATATTGTTAGTAATAAAAAAGGGAAAATATATTATGCAAGTGAAAAATGTTAAGAATATTTATCAAAAGCTATTCAATTTTTTTTCAATATATTTGCAAATCTAACTTGAAATTTAAGTGGCTCTGTTTTTCCTTGGTATAAGTGCATCGCATTAAAAAATGTACAATTAGAAGAATTTATTTTAGAAAGTTGCATTAAAAAGTCTTTAAAATATTCTTCTTACGTAGAATTTTGGACAAAAATTCCAGGAAAATTTTAGAAAAGTTTTTTACAAAATCTGAATAGACATTGTATTTTGTAACTCGAGAAAGAAAGCATAGATTTCAAAACTAATAACATTAATGACGTTATAATTACTTTTAATATTCGTTACAAAACGTGTCTCGCATATCGAATATATAAACAATTAATCGCGCACTGTTTACATTTATTATACACGTCACGTCACGTGTAAAGGGTACGATTGCTTTATTAACCGTCAAGCAGAGTCCCGTTGTAGCGCGTTGAATAATTCCTCGCAGGATTCCATTTAATGTCGTCGACACAACGATAACGTAATGTAAACAATAGCGAAATGCTAACCGAGCTACAATCAATTCCACTCATGATCTTTTCCGCCTGCGGTCCCTCTGCGGTTCACACGTGCGGGTTAACCGATAGCTTGGTTGAAATTACACGCGAACTGCATCTCCACGCGACATTCCGTTATCATCATTGTCGTATCATCCTTATCTTTGAACAAGATTCTTAAAGCTATGCACGCTAAGTACCACGAAATTGACAAGGAAAGGTACCCAACTGAAACAACTGCCCCATTTACTGTAATGTAACTTCCAAGCCTTATAACTCGGAAAATACTTGACGTACAGTAACATTATTATAATGTTTTGGAAAGCTCTCGAGATAAACTACAAGAATATGCAATAAAAAGTAGGTGGTTCCATTTAAAAAAATGGCCCACCCTGTATACAAGGGGTTGTTTTTGCCCTTAAAATTGCTTCTCCGCAGATAAAAAAAAATACGTGTCTATTATTTTGCATAGTTTTACAAGTGTACAAAGTTTCATTAGAATCCGTGAGTGACAGTTGGGTACCTTTCCTTGTGAGACTAGATGAGAAACGCGTTCTTTACGCTAAGCATTTCCTCGCCAGAAGCTATATTGGTACATATTTGAATTTTGCGTCTCTCTTTGCTTTCAGGGCAACGCTGGGCCGCATATGCATGAAGCTGGTGATCGTGATGGGTATCACCTGGGTGGCGGACGTGGTCTCATGGGCGGTCGGCGGCCCGCAGTACATCTGGTACTTCACCGACTTGATAAACGCCTTTCAAGGAGTGCTGATCTTCGCGACGGTCGGTTGCCAGCCGCAGGTCAGAGCGGCGCTCAAGAGATTCTTCAGCAGAAATCCGCAGACCAATGCCGGTAGACAGGGTAACGGTCATAGTACGACTAGCCATGGCATGCCCAGCATGGGCGACAGCGTTACGCAGAACCCGAGCACCAAAACCGCGCCGTTGGAGACCATCTGTTAGAGTGGCCCTTTCACGAAAGGGCCTTGTCGATTTTTTTTCGAAAGTCACACGTATTCACACCCAACATACACACGTACAATCGAGTGACACGAATTGTCATTTGTCATTTTATTGGCGAGAAGTCTCGTCGAGAAGTCGTCGAGAATATGGTTAACATCAGGAACACATTACGTGTTTCTGATGTTAACCATTTCGACGACTTTACTACTGATAAGTTTTTTATACGAGCGAGATCACCAGAAAAGTCTTCATTTCGTACACATTTCGTGATAAACGATACAACAAGGAGTGATCGATTGGAGAATATTTCTGGATCGATTGCAAAATAAAGAAAAAGAAAATTTCTTACATTACAAGTCTGTGGACTTGTAAAGTTTAGATCGATCCCGTTGAAAGTATCGACATTTCTCAGACAATACCGAAGGCAAAACCGAAGAAAGTCAGCGCGATCTCTACATCTGAAAGTGTTTAGGATGTGTGTTGAATGTGTTTCAGATATATTTTGGGCTTTCCTGGCCTCTCCAGTTCTTGCAAAACGCGATAGCGTGTAATCTCGTGCAGTCAAATAATATAATAAAAACGAAAAGAAAGTCGCGAGTCTCTTCTGTCCTTTCTAGTCGTACAGTTTTGCTGCATGGACACGAAAATTCAAATTTTTATTCGAGATTGTTATTTGATTGCAACGAGAGCATTGACACGACATTCAAAAAAATACACATACGAGATAAATCTTTTCATCGTCCTGTCGCACACGAATGTGCGGTTATTTTAACTTTTCATTCATGACATAAATTGCCGGATGAAGTACACAATTGGCAATGTATACGATAATTATCTGAAATCTCGATAAACGTGTAGATTGTTTTGTTTGACCGAGGTTAATCACCTGCTACACAATTATCAGATTGTACAAAAAAAGCGGCGATGCGGTTCGCCTTAGTCATTGAATCTGGGGAACACTTGCACTGACAAAGATAGATCGTGAAATTTCGCTGACGAGAGGACGAGAACGTTAATTATCTATTCCTGTTTTGATACTATCGGAACACCATGCGATCCATCTTTTCTGACGTAAGCAATTACATTGTACGCAATTAAAAGCGTCTATTTGATACACGATAATGTTAATCTCGCGATAGAGACGGCAAATTTTCAGACAATTGGGATATATAACATTGAAAACTGATAAAATAATATAGAAAGGCTTCAGATATTTAAATTCTGAAATTTTAATGTTTTTATCTAAATGCAACACTTTTTCGCGTACCGACACAGTATCTATTCGTGCGACAAGATTTTATATAAATATATATTTAATCTATTGCAAGCAAAACGTGAGAAAAAATAGAAAATAATTAAAACTCCGATATTAACGCAATTAACAGATGTCTAGAAGACATTGTGAAGACTTTCAAAAGATCAAAATTCTTCTACCCTTTTAGATATCTTTCAATTTGTCTTTTGTTATAACCATAAATATTTAACAACGGAATATGTAATAAATAGTACGTCACATGTTTTTTTTATCGCTGATTACAATCTGAGAGGACGCTGCCTTTTTTATCAACTTAAAAATGAAACGAGATGTTTCAAATTTGCTTTTAATTCGTGAGTGATTGCTTAGCGATTTAGGAAACGTCAAGCGTAACATCTCTATACAACTTCGAAAATCGATGACGATACGGATCATTCATAAATCAGAGTTTAATAGCGATACGCGGCTAAACAGACAATGACGCGCACTCTTCGGGCCTCGGTAACGGCCCGAAACAATGCGTTGATTTATGATCGAGGCGAGTTAATATTTTTTCCTCAGCGGACAACGATATATTCATTGATATTAATAATATCATCCCACACGACTGGCGCAAGTATCTCCGCAAGATTAATCACTTTTAATAATAGACGAACAATAGAGTGTCATTGTAGCCGCTCGCTGCGGAAATGAAAATTACACTATACTACATAGGCAATTTTGCATTCTAAAATGATTTTGCAATTTTAGTCATCAGTGGTTTTTGTGATAATCCCTAAATCTTTTACATAAACTAGTCTTTTCACATAATTAAAATTTGCGAAATATATACATTCTACTATTTGTTATGAAAAGTTTCTAAAATACAATTTGTATCGTTACGAAATCTATTGAAACGAGAGAAATATTACATCTCTTACAATTTAATGGCGTAAAATATTAACGTCTGATGAGACGAGAGCATCCAAAATGAAGCTTCTTTTTTTACCTAATGATAATTGCTCTCTCGAAATGAAACGGCAAACGATCTCGCCTCACGTTCATTATCATATTATCGAAGGACGATCGGGGTTCATCACGAATTTCCTTCCGAGTCCTTCATTATTCATCGGATATTATCGAATCGAGAAGCAATCGTTTTTCCGTTTTCTTTAGCATAAATTTGCATCGACGTCGTTAGCCGATTCGACAAAACGGTCGCTAGCTGACATTAACATGTAACACACACATTGTAGTTTTCGAATCACAATTTATCACTGATCAGCCGCGGACGCTTGATACCGAGCATGTAAAAAAGCTCTATTGCATTGCGTACTGCGCGAACTGCATGCAAAAAGGTTTCGCGGATTCGCATACACGCAATTTATCGGTGCGTGTACGTTGCTTCGCATAATCCGTTTACGACCGTTCGAAGGTATATCATTCTTTTACGCAACATTTCTTTATCAATTTTTATACAAAATCAATCAAAAATGACAGTTCTTTAATAAAAATAAAGTCTTTTTTATGGCTTATTTTATTATATATATTTTTTTGTTTCTAAGAAGAACTTTAAAGTTTATGTAAGTTTTTGAGAAGCAGTTTGATTTTCTTTATGCAAAAATTTTTTATTTAACTTTCGACGTGAAGAAAACGGATGTGCCGAGAGAAAAAGAAAGGAAGGACTTCGCAGAAGGAAATTCTAGAGCAACTCCCGCGAAGTAATACTGCCAAAGAGACATGCTATATCAAAAACATGTATATGAGACTATAATCAGAATATATTAGCCGCAACTGCCATTCTCTTGGAAATCTTTTTCTCAATATTTCAAAAGTATTACGAGTAGTACAACGAATAATCAATCGAGCATCAACCTTTGTTATACGATTTTTAACAAAGGACCAAGCGTGTCCTTCTCCTCGGGAGCTAATGATTATTCGTTAAAATTACAAACGCGTTTTACAAAATTTTGATTACAAATATCGAAATCACGCGTAGGGTCAAGGCATGTAATCGATGTCAACTCGTGACAATACACATTAGGAATTCAATGCCTTCTGAAATGCCTTCCAAATGCGGTGTTGCACACACCGAATCGTATACAAAGAGGAATCGAAGGATGACGAAGTTTGATGTTCTCATCGATTCCTTGTGCGCGATATTGGCGCCGGATTTCATCACTTTCCTTCGCGCGAATTTGACTCTTTAACTGCGACACGTGCACCTGCTTTCTCAAACTTTCAAGTAAAATGCAAATGTGTTGCACGATTATACGATATCTCTTAACGCGACTTATCATTTTCATTAACGAGCATAAAACAATGTCAAGCTAATAGTGTAAAATCTTGACTGATTATGGATTTTATTTTCTCACATATATGGAGTTTGCAGCTAAAGAATTGATGGACCCTTCACAATTTTATTTTCTTTCCGTTCATTTTGCCCGTATCAATTTAGCGTCTGCATTTAACAATGCTTAACGAGCCAAACCAGCTGATTTGTACGTGATGATGAATTCATCATGTGATTGAGAAAGAATCGAGAATGCAATTTTCAACGATATTTCGTTTATTTCTGGACAAATAGCGCAGCACAAAGATGTATTTAGGATCGTTTTACATCATTATCAAGACAATGCATTTTATTTCGTATAATGCATATAACGAAGAACAATGACGCTTTTTAATCGCATTAAATTGTGATTGTCATCAACAAAGAGAGAACCTAATATAGGATATAGGATTAGTTATATATAATCGAAGATAGGGTTATCTGAAACCTCGTCCAAGTTTTCGAGCCTTTATACGAGATTGATGTTTGGTTTAATTAACGCGTTTAGAAATTAAAGAATTAGAAATTAGAGATCATTTAGAAATTAGAAGATCATTAAGTTTTAAGTCCATCTAGGAAGAGACTGAAATGCGCACTGACACATTATCCATGATTCGATCGGGATGACTTGATCTCTGAATTAGAATGACTCGTATCTTACTTTTGAGCAATTATTCATTGCAAGAAAGGCAAGTTTGTAGAATTAAATTGTCTGTCTTAAAATATCATAATTTTCAAAATTGTACAAAACATCCACAAATCGCAGAATATGACATAGTTTGCAATTAACACATGAAACGTTAAGAGATAATTTCGTCTTTAAGCGAAAAGAATCCTTATGAAAGAATGATGATATTCATACTTTTGGAGTTAAAATAATTAACAATGAAAGTATTTTGCAAATTTTTACAAAGTGTCATGCAGTCTTTTTTCTGTAAACTTTTTTGCAAACTACAAGATTGAGGAAAACAAAATTTTTATTTTCTATTTAATTTCCGGTTGCTTTTAATTTTAATAGAATTATATAATAATTTGACAGAATTCTTAATGTATAAACTTTTAATGTCTAAACATATTTAATTTCAAACATTAAAAGTTTTAATAAATAATAATCTTTCTCATCCCTTCATAAGAATTTTTTCATAAAAAAATTTCCTTAATGAGTTTCGATCCCCCTAAAAAAATCATTATACATATATTATTTTGTGTTGAAAATATCGCAATAACACAATAATGTGAAAATCATGATCACGAGTTATTTTTGTGAGAATCAGGTCGTCCCGAAAACCTCGTTAGTTCCTTTTTTTGTAGCATGTATGACTGTATGCGAAATAACATCGCTGCTCGGCTTTTCTCTCATGCCCTCATCAAAGAACTTGATTAATTAATTGCCGTTCTGGCGATAGTAAATTGGGATTTAATCTTCTGCAATTTCGAAAATCAAGCATGGGAAAAAGCTGTGGACTGAGGCGATGTTATTAGTTGTATTAACGTGTGTGTATACGAGATGTATGTATATGTGATTCATCGCGGGAGGCGATTAATTAATTGCGTGACAGTACGTGCGTGTGCAGAATTTGCATGTAATTAGCGTATCACAATGACGTTTCATCGCACCGAATAATCCATAGCGAAAGAATTACAACGCACAACGATTTGTCAGTTTAAGTACTACTACGGATTAAAGAAAACACCGTTTTTTTCGTTATGTATGACATTCAACGTAATAATTTAAGAGGTTGCTATTATTGACGCAGAATGAATGAAAACCGTCATCCCGTATGTAATGACATTCATAACTCGTCATCTGTTTTTCTGTTGCACTCTTGTAGATAACATTCTTTATTATCATCATCTGTATTGTTATTATTGTTTTATTATAATATATATCATTATTATTTTATAATATTATAATTAGTATTATATATCACTGTCACGTATAATTGACATTGGTTTTAGACCAAACTCTAAAATACTGTAATATCGAAACCCCAGCATAGCGCATAAATTATTACAATATCATACATTCGCGTCCAGAATGAGAAAAACGTCCTAATGAGAATTAATATAAACGCAACAAAAAATTTGACCAAATTATTCTTCTCCATCGAATTTTTGTAGAAACGGTCATCTTTATCTGTATCAAATAATAATTTTTGCATTCTCGTGAAAATTAATCGAAACTTGATTTTTAATAAAATTTTTTTAATCCTTCCTAAAAAATATAATTGGCAAATTATTAAACGATTCATCAATGTGAAGTAAATGATTGATTTTGATTTGACTGTATTAATTTTTTTTCAGCATGAAACATGAACAAAGCAACACAATGATTACTTTAATATTAGTCGTGTAAGTGCATGATAATTACTTATTATTAATTATTCGTCATCTTGTTAAATAGCTTTTAAATCTGATCGGTTCGCGCGACGAATTTCACGTTTGTACATTAAACCCGTTCGAAGGGTACGATAATTTCTTGAGTAAATTATGATAAATCGATGATGAGCTAAGAAAGTAGCCTTAAAGTAATTTATTCAAAGTAGATCGTTTAATGTAACACACTGATATGAATAGACGTAATGCATATATACAGTAGCTTGCCAGTATAAGTAGTATTAAGTTGATACCTTGAACTATATTCGCGACTTTATATGGAAGAGGCTGATGAAATGACGAATATTGCTCGTGTTAATCCGAGACGAAGTATGTACAAGATAAAAGGAAATATTAAAAATTATACGTACACATACGACATAAGGCGATACAAATGCTTGTAAAGTGTACCCTAACTAATTCGATGCCGGAAATTTAGTTTGCAGTTTGCAATAAAAGAACGAAAAATTGAAGAGTTAAACAAATGTAATAAGTAAAACGCACGTATTGCTGACAATATACTGTTATATTATTTAGATGATTGTTTACTATGCCGTGATGAAGCTTCAACATCGGGGATATTAATAATCACATTTTATATAACACGATACGTTAGATTTATTTAACTTTTATAAATCGTACGTTTTTTTTATTTACTGCAAGCATATTTGCATTTTACTAATAAATTGAGTAGACATAAATTTGTATTTGACATTTTCATACTTTTTTCTACATTTCACGAGAGACCGATTTCACTGCCAAAAAGTAATATCGCTCGTTCTTCGCGATTAAGTGAATAAGAATTTAATATTAAAGAATCTTTTATATTACGAAAAATTAAAATTGATAGACGCGAAAACAATTTTTCGGGAAAACGGAGGCTATATTCATAGACAATAGTGTGTTAACCGTTTATATACCTTAGCAATAGCTCTATTAATCGTATAAAGAATATAAGTATAGTTATTGTAATAGCGAGCGAAGAGAAACATTTACACAAATGACCGATCGTTCACCATTCCTACATGATATATTGTAACAGTATTTGCTATTGCATTAATGGTAGTAAAAAAATTGTTAGTACAAGATTTTGTATTTTCCCATTAAGTCGATCCCTACTATATCCTAATAATTACAAAAAATATATATAACAATATCATTATAATTAAAAAATTTTTTTACAGTAAAAGAATGATATTCGAATATTTTTTAGATGCATTTTATTAAAGCACAAATTATTTCAATGTACATATATATATATATATCTATCTACTAGTAAAGATTTATAGCGGCAATAAAGAGTAATTTATAATCTTGTATCTCTCATAAAATGTCATATAACGCAATTTTCATAAAATAGTCCCATGTATTAAGAATATATCACATTGAAACAACTTTCTTTAACATATGAAGCATTGAACATTGAAATCTTTTCGATATAAAAACTTTTGATGGAAATTATTATATTGATTATGAGAGAAAAACCGATTCGCCGATACATCAATGCCAGTAAACTACATAAAGAGAATTTCCAATTCTTCAAGCAAGACGTCGCAGGATATCATCAATATACGTAGAAGGATTTCTTATATCTTCTAATAAGCCTGGAATGAAATATTTATTTTTAATGTTTTGATCGGATTATAATATTAGATCTTTCGATTTCTTCAGTTTCTTACAAACTTACCAACAATATCGCAAAATTCTTCAAATGATGCGCACGGTAATAATTCATCACGATATGACGAAAGCACGCGTTCTGAGGCTTTTAACATAGCTTCG